ATATCTAAATATATCTGAGCTCTCACGTGATCATTCCCTCTTTCTTACAAAAGAGAAATGAATCTCTTTGCTCTCAATTTCAACAATCAGGCAATAGGGTGTTAAAAATATCCCATAGCATAAGAATACCAAACATCCAATAAAAAATCCAGCAAATCCTAAATCTCGGGTCATATGGAAAACAAGAAACGACAAAACCGAATGTTCCCAATCTCTCAATTAATATGAACCGAAAGCTTCAATTTATTCATATTGGTAAAATGTTTCAAACAATTAAATCTCATTCTACAAAAACCTTGCTCAAAGAAGATCACAAGGACCTTACCACCTCAAAACTCATGCAATCCGATTTAAAGAAAAACCTCCCAGATTTTATATCAAGAAAACTTTCAAAACACAAACCCCAACAAAGCATAAGCATGAAATCTAACTCCATTGCTCTTTTTGGCATTTTATCAAACATTTAGTATGCTATATTTATAACATTTCATGAAGCAAATCAAGATGGAAATCGTCATTTCACAAATCACAAAATTTCATGAGATTCATACTTTGCTGAAATCATTAAAAAAAAAACTAACTAAGATTAGATGAAATTTTGGAGTGAAAGAGCAATCACCTGAAACACTCATACATGACAAATGAAGAAAAGATGATTCACTACTCTGTTGGATTTTGAGAAGGCCGGCCAATGTGTGAAGGAGGGGGAAGAAGAGTAGGAGGAGAAGAAGGGGGAAAAGGGAGGTCGGCAGTTGGAGACGTGCAAAACCGAGAGAGACTGAGAGAGATGGTCCGAGAGCTGGAGTCCCTCCCTCGAGCGAGCCCTTCCTCTTCATTTTTTTTTTTTTGAACCCGAGAGAAAAAACAACGGCTAGATAGACGATAAGGGCAAGAGTTAAATGCTTGTTACTGCCGAATAAGAGAAATTGCCCTTTTAAAAAAAAAAATATTCCAAACCTACTCGCATCAATGAGCCTGATTAGATTCAAAATTAAACTTAAGTTGAGCTTAATTTGGTTTGACTCGAGCATATTTAAGTTCGACTAACCCCGACATGATTTATTTAGCTAGGTCAAACTCAAGTTGATGCCGATTCAAGTTGAATCAAGCCTGACGAGGTTCAAATAAATTAATCTAGCCTAACCGAAAATAATTGGGTCTAATTCGACTCAATTCGAGCTGATTCGAGCTCGAATTGGACTCGACGGGGCTTAATTAAATCAATTAAAGGCCCTCGAGGGCGAGCTAAAATTGAGGTCAACAGGTGAGAGCTTAGATATTTAAAGAATCTTAGAGCACTATCCAACCACTATTGTCAAAATACTACCATTGGATCGCTAATGACCCAACCAGCACTATCAAACTACCACAATTGGACCACCACCTTATGACCACTTTCGCCGAATTTTTGCCTCCTTACTATCATCTCCCAACTACATTCTTTGACTATTATTGCCAGACTACAGTCTCCCGTCCACTGTAGTCAATTATAGTCGCCTAACCACTTTCGTCTGACTAAAGTCCCCCAACCACCCTTACCTAACTACGGTTTTCCAACCACGGACCAACATCAACTATGTTGTCACATCCCAAGTCCGGAAATCGGTACACCCCGATAACACGGGCTGCGATGAAAGAATATAAATATATGTGATGAGGACATCCGATCGTGGTAAGTTTATCAGAGAAGAGGCCGAGATCTACGACCATGATTGGACCACTTTATTTTTTAGTTATTATTTGTATTTGATTTATTTATGCATTTTCTCTTTTTAACCCTCACTTGAGGGAGTAGGTTTATGTGACCCCAGGGGGCACTTTGGTCTTTAGAGTTGTTATTATATTTTGGCTATTTATAGCCCCCCTTCTCCTCTTTGGAGGATTATGAGAAGAAAAATTCTGCACTTGGTGTTTGAGAGCTTTAGAGTTGTTGTGAGAGTTGAAGTCCCTATGTGAGGGCAACGTACTATCCATCAGCCGCATGAAGTGTCTAGGCTCGTGGTTCGTTTCCTTCCCCATCTTCTTCTTCTTATTTCTCCTAGTCGCCGCCCCATCCTCCTTTCTTTTTCCCTGGGCCGAAATTCCCCACCTAAACCCTAAACCGACCCCCACGTTTCCCCTTCTTCCCTTGGCTGAACTCCACCCCACACCCTAGGCTGACCCCCATCCAACCATCGGCCCCACCTCCCTTTCCTAAGCCGCCGACCATCAACCCTCCTCTTGGATCCAAATTCATCCAAGCATTTATTACTTTTCTAAATTAGCTCATTATAAATTTGGAAGTTCAATTAATTCAAATTTGAAATTTCTTCCTTAAATAAAATGAGTTATCTTAGGAAGGTTCCTCCAATCAAGGCCATTTAAATTTGAGTTTAAATTAAAGAGATAATTGTATTCTTTTTTAATTTAATTTGGCTTAGATTGGCAACTCATTTAAGCCCATTAATTCCCTCAAATCTACATTAAATCATGTGAACCCCTCCCCTTCCTCTCTTGGCCACCCCCTCCTCTCTCCTCATATACTTATGAGATCCATTAAAGCTCCCCAATCAATCCATCAATTCCCTATCTAATTTTTCATTTCTAATGGAATTGAGCATATTTGCCCCTATTCCCCCCCTCCCAAAAAAAAAAAAAAATTAAATTTGAATTCAAATTTCCCATTCATCTCCACCAATTAAAGCTGGAATTAAATTTCATATTGATTTGATGTTATAATTTACTGATTTACGTGATTCACTGATTGGAAGTTATAAGGAGATGATTACTATGCCAACGGGAAAGAGTGACGACTTTGTTTACTGACATTGGTTTACTGATACCAATACGATACTGAAAAAATGTTGCTTAAATCAGGACTTTTTACTTGTTTAGTGTGACTATTAGCATACATGTTGTTGAGGCATTATTATTATTATTGTACAAATTTATTTTTACTATAGGAATTTACTGTTATTATATTATTTTATTGTTTTTTGCCACTGGACTATTTCTATTACCGATATAAATATTGATATTGTTTGATATTATTAATTCTTTGTACTGATATTAAACGTGCAACATAATAAGCATGTAATATACTGAGCATGTAATTTATTGGATAGTATGTGTACACTCTTATATAATGTTACTGCATTAATATGATTCAGATAGTTTTTACTGATAATTTGGTTTTATCGCTTTATATGTTTTCTCTATTGATTTAAAGTAATAATACGACGACTGCTTTAGTGATTCGACACCCGTATTGTTTATCGAATTCTCTATTGTACTGTTTTACTGACTTTCGTACCATATTGTTTTATCGTTTACAAACTTTACTACTATTGAATGTGAGTTTTACTTTTCAACATTTATTCAATGATCATTTAAATACTACTGCTATGATTTGATCATCGACATGCATATTGCTCATTTACCATGCTTTGAGTTCAGTTTTAGGTTGGTGACCTGCTGGGCTCTTGAGCTCATTATATATGTTTAAATAATTTCAAGTCAAGGCTAGGGAGTATGAGCAAGAGAATGACCAGGATCCTTTAGGTTCAGGTTTTTGTTATTTTAGCTATTGTTTTATACTCATGACAAAGTAGTTGTACTATGACTGTATTGATCCTGAATAGTATGTATGATTTTTTAAAAATAAATATAGATGTATACGGTGATGTTTTGATTAATAGTTTTATTTTTTTTACTATTTATATTAATAAAAGAAATTAGCTAGCTCTTGTTGTATAAATTAAAAGAGACAAATAATTATTCAAATTAGATTCTTAGGCATCACAACACTTACTATAATTCCTAATGCTAGCATCAAGATTTATATTGGATTTCCTCTCGCTCTTGCGCCTCCTATTAAACCCTAGAGCTTTTTACTCTCATCGGTTGTTCAGAAATTTAGGGTTTGCGTAGAAATTCATCGAAAGCACCATGTTGGTCTACCAGGATATACTCTCTGGTGATGAGCTTCTGTCAGACTCATTCCCAGCTACATAAATTGAAAATGGCACGCTGTTGGAAGTTCAAGGAAAGTGGGTAGTCCAAGGTGCTATAACTGTTGATATTGGCTCAAACCCTTCAGCTGATGGTGCTGATGAAGGTGAGGTTGTAGATGACCAAGCTATTAAGGTGGTCGATATTGTTGACACCTTCCATCTTCAGGAGCAACCTGCTTTCGATAAGAAGCAGTTTGTCACCTTTATGAAACGCTATATCAAGAATCAAACAGCCAAATCAGATGTGGAGAAGCAAAACTTATTCAAAAAACATATCGAGTCTGCCACTAAATTTCTGCTTTCAAAGCTCGACAACTTGCAATTCTTCGTGGGTTGCATGAGGATGGAGGTTTGGTCTTCGCTTACTACAAGGAAGGTGCTACTGATCCAACATTCTTATACTTTGCTTATGGACTAAAGGAGATCAAATGCTGAATGATTATCTTTCACCTCTCCTGTGTTGTTGTACATCCAGTCTTTATATTTATTTGATGTTGCTTTTGGAAATTTTGTTTTGACTTTTGACGTTGATTGTTTGGATATGCCGCACTCATTTTTGTCTTTTAAACTCGTAATTGTGTTCTTAAAAAAGAAAAAAAAAAAAGATTTATATTGGATTTCTTCATATAAGATCTCCTCTCTTTAAAGAAAAATGGCTAAACAAATCACAGACAATCTCCTTAAGACAACTCCAATGCTCCAAGGCTCTCCCAAATTCCATCATAAACTTCATTCTCTACATTTATGCTTGCTATAGTGTACCAACACATTCTCCCATTACAAAGAAAGACATCATTTAAAGTTGATTAAATATACTAGTAAAATCATTTCAACTAGATCACGCCTTGTGGTTTTTTTTCTTTTTGGATTTTTCTCATAAAAACTCTAATCTCTCTTTTAATTCTTCTTTAATCTGTGTAGGATTTCCATACAAAATTAAGGCATTAAATACTATCTCTATTGTTTATAAAAATTTTGGCACATAACAATTATGTTTTTGTTTCTCTTATTAATTAGGCTTGCAAATTTCTTGACGAACAATGGTTTCCAAAGATTACATTGATAATTGCACAGAAAAGACACCACACGAAGTTTTTCTTAGCTGGTGGATCTCCTGACAATGTTCCACCTGGTAGGCTTTTCTCATTTTGAATCATCATTGATATTTGGGTTCTATTTTTCTTCTGTAGCTTATCTAACACTGAAAATTGACTTTTTTTCAATTTGTAGGGACTGTTGTTGATAAGCAAGTTTGTCATCCCGGAAACTATAACTTCTACATGTGTTCACAGGCAGGAATGATTGTAAGGTTTAATAATATGTGGTCTTACGTTTATCTTTCTGTTATATAAGTTCTGGCGGTTTGGATCGCCACACTAACTTGTTTCATGCTGAATTTTTGTATTTTTTTTTTTAATCTGTAATTCTGATGCAGGGAACAAGCCGACCAACTCACTACCATATTTTGTTCGATGAAAATGAGTTGAATCCTGATGATCTTCAAGAGCTTGTGCATTCACTTTCATATGTGTATGCTCTGCTGATTCAATCATGATTTTTGTTTCTTTCCAAAACTAAATAATTGTGGACTGAATAAACAGATGTTGATTCTATATGATTTTTTGGCTTTTTTCAGATATCAAAGAAGCACTACCGCAATCTCAGTAGGTATATTTCATGCACATCTTACAATGTTGGCATCATTTTAGTTTCAAGAATTGAAATTTTTATTAGGTCCGGTGTCCTAACGCAGCTCTACGTTCGGACGCTAGTAAAATGGTGTCACGTGCTCTTACTCATTATCACGCGGCCCGACGACCCGACCCGGACCGAACCCGGGATTGTTATGTATTGGCTGATTTGTGCAGACCGGGGTATTGCTCGATATTGCTCAGCAATAACGAGAAATATCATTATGTCAAGACCAATACCGAGCATTACCCCGATTTTGTTAGGTATTGCTCGGTATTGCTTTGTATTGCTAGGTATTGGTCTTGACAGAGCGGTATTTCTCGTTATTGTCAAGCAATACCTAGTAATACCCGAACATAGCAATACCGGGTTCCGGTCGTGGTTGAGTAGTCGGGCCTCACGGTAAAGAGTAAGAGCACATGGCAACATGTTATTGGCCTCCGGATGTAGAGCTACGTCCGGTGTCCGGACCTAATAATTGTTCCAAGAATTGAGGCTTATTCTTCCCTTAGGCTTAAATTTTTTTAATAGAACTTGTGAAACTCGTAGGTTTTACTTTTTCTTTTCAAAACTAAATGATTGTTGGCTGAATCCAATGTGACCCGATGAATTTCAATAGAGGTCTAGAAATACTTGGGAGATAAAGGAATTTTTTTACTTACAAAATTTTTAACATTATTTTAAATACAAAAGATGTCAGATGAGTGGAGAAGTGTGTTGATTTCTATTTTTAAAAATAAAGGTGATGCACAAGAGTGTGTGAATTATAAAAAAATTAAGTTAATGTGTCATACTTTAAAACTATAGGAGAGAATCATTGAGCATAGGATACAGGTTGATATTAATGTTTTTCAAAATCAATTTGCATTCATGCCAGGTATGCCTACTATAGAAGCTACGCATTTACTAAGATGCTTGATGCAGAAGTATAGAGAGAATAAGGGTGATCTATATATGATTGATACGTCCTCAAAAAATTATCTTGATCTGCCACGAATCTCGATGCAAAATCAAGTTGGAAACTTCCAAAATTAAAATTGGGATCATCCGAACTCCGATTTCAGCAGACTTACAGTCAAACTGAACGTCTCAGAAATACGAACCCAACGACACTAAATTCAACCCAATCCGAACCCAAACAGATCCAAATCAAGGGTTAAAAGTGTTGTTGGAAGGTTCAAACCACAATTTGGGTTACCAAACGGTTTCGAAACATGACGTGCTTATAGTCGAATCGAGCGGCTCGATAACACAAATCCAACGAGCCCACGATCTCTAAATTTCGACATCATTAAGACCATCAAATGTCTGACGAAGGGTACACGATCAAGGGATTCAATATCGGTCGTCCATCCAACCATTCCCCATTTACCCTTGATCTCTCACCTATTTACAGGCCATGTCATTCCAAAAATCTATAAATAGACCCCTCATTTCTCTTGAAATGGGGACCAAAGCAAGAAGAGAAGGAAGAAGAGAAGGAAGAAGCTCCTCCCCCACCATCGCCAGACTTCCGTCGGACCACCACTTGAGGCCCTCACCTCCGCCGGACCACTGTCTGACGTTGTTGCTCCGCCGGACCACCACTTGAGGCCTTCACCTCTGCCAGACCACCGCCTGACGTTGTTAATACGCCGGACCACCACTTGAAGCCCTCACTTCCGCTGGACCACCACTTGAGGCCCCTCACCTTCCCCGGACCACCACCTGAGACCCTCGCCTTCGTCGGACCACCACCTGAGGCCCTCGCCTTCACCGGATCACCACTTGAAGCTCTGAGCTCCACCGGGCCACCACTTCAGACCCTCACCTCCGCCGGACCACCGCCTGACGTTGTTGCTCCGCCAGACCACTACTTGAAGCCCTCACCTCCGCCGGACCACTGCTTTGCTGGACCACCACTTGAGGCCCAGACTTCTGTCGGGCCAAAAAAAAAATAGATGTTTTGTTCCGCTGCATTTGATGTTTCATAGTAGCTCTGTGTGTCTGTTTTTGAGTTGAATTATTTGGAAGAATCAGTTCCGAAGCAAATTCTAAAGCCAGATCCTGGTCAGTCAGTTTGTTCGTTTCGGTCGCGACCCGGTGCGAGCGGGATCCGTCCCAGATCGGGTCGGGTCGTGACATTGATGCCCAGACTTCTCCTGCCGACTACGGTTCTTCCAACCTCCGTCGCCCACTATAGTCCTTCCGACCTCCATAAACAGACAACGGACTTTCTGACCTCGGTCTCCTGCCAACTACGATCGTTCAGACCTCTCTCTCCTGCCGAATACGGTCCTTCCAACCTCCGTCAACAGACAACAGCCTTTCTGACCCCGGTCTCCTGCCGACTATGGTCCTTTCGATCTCCGTCGCCTACTATGGTCCTTCCGACCTCAATCAACAAACAACGGTCTTTCTGATCGCGGTCTCCTGCCGACTACGGTTCTTCCGACCTCCATCGCCTAATATGATCCTTTCGACCTCCATCACCAGACAACGGTCTTTCTGCCCCCGATCTCCTACCAACTACGGTCTTTCGGACCTCTGTCTCCTACCGACTATTATCTTTCCGACCTTCATCACCTACAATGGCCCTTCCAACCAAACAAACATGTCTATGTTAATTATTGTAACTCCCACCATGTAATGTGCTCTATATGACGTACATTTGTAACATCAAGCCAAGGCCTTCTCCATAAGAAGGGCCTCATTTGTAATCGACTGCAAATATTAGTGGATTCATTCAAATTGGGCCAGACCCTACAGTTTTTCCGCCTTTTCAAAGGTTTCCATGTAAAAACTCTGGTGTCTCTTATGAACACTACACCCTCTCTCTCTTATATGATTGTGTGCTGGATCTTCGTACAATGTTAAGATGTTAAACTATATATTTCTCTACCGCCGTGAATACTCCAGGACACAACAATAATATTTATTAATTTAGAGAAAACATATGTTAAAGTTCCAAGAGAAGTGCTATGGAGAGTTCTAAAATAGAAAGGGATTAATAATACTTATATTAACCCATTAAGGATATGCATGCATAATGCATGAGCTGGTAGTTGTATTCAAACACAAGGTGGTTTCACTATGTATTTTTCTATTTCAGTTGGATTACATCAATAACCAGCATTAAGCTCATATCTTTTTGCTTTAATCATGAATATTTTTACTAAACATTTGCAAAAGGATGTACCCTCGTGTATGCATTTTGAGAGGGAGTTAAAGGTAAACATAATTTATGGAGGTCAACCTTAGAGTTTAAAGGTTTTCGTTTGAGTAGATCTAAAACTAAATACATAGTATAATTTTAGCTGTAATAGATCCAATTGAGGGATTGTGATTTGTGACTTTAGGTGATCAAGTCATTAATAAAAGTACACGTTTTAAATATCTTAGGTCTATTGCTCAGAGTGATCATCAAATAGATTGGGATCTTATTAGCAGAATTCAAGTAAGATGCATGTCCCTAGATTAGATTGGTTTTGTGGACTAATGCGAGATTGCTAAAGCATGTGAGTATTGAACTTAATAAAGCCTTTTTAGAGGAATCGTCCTGTTCCATGTTTTCATTCTTCCACTACAATTCATATTTTTTTCTGCTGATACAAGTTTTTTTTTTGTTTGTAATCTTCTCTCTTCAGTGGCACCAATTTACTATGCCCATCTTGCAGCTTCACAGGCAGCCACGTTCATAAAATTTGAAGAGTCTGAAACTTCCTCAAGTCAACAAGAAATTGCAGCACCTGGTACAGTACCAGTTCCTGAGCTTCCTATACTTCATGAGAATGTTAGGAATTCCATGTTCTTTTGTTAGGAAGAACTGACAACTCTTTTTTTTTTTTATGGTATAAATTATAAAGAAGTTACACAAACAAAATAGTGAGGAAATTTTTCAAATTTTATGATTGTAAATAGATTCATTTCTTTCATTTTAAGAAGATGAATACATGATTGTACTTAATCGTCTGGGAATTCGGAAAGATTAGATTATACTTAATCGTCTTTTTCACCTTTTTCAGAGATTAAATATTGTTGCGTGCTAGAATATACGCGGCAGTAGAGTTAGGAAATATTCGTCTTAGCGTTGCACGAGTATTCCGCACACAAACAGAAAAGATAAAATGAACACCAAGGTTTTTACGTGGAAAACCCGAAAGAGGGAAAAAACCACGGGGCCTCGCCCAGTTGCAAAGTTCCACTAGTATTTGTTTGAAGTACAAAGGTTGATCCGTCTTACAAATCAAGACAATCAATTTCTCACAAAGTTCTGCAAATTCCCGGCTTTTCCCGAAAATCCGGCAAAGTTCCGGCGTCTTTAGGCGGCAGGAAGAGCTCCGGCGGTGGTCGAGGAGGAGAGGAATCGCCTTTTCCCCTTTTCCTTCTTCTTCTCTTCTTCTTCTCTCTTCACTTGAGTCCCTTTGGTGTAGAATGAGGGCTCTATTTATAGTTTTTCTGGAGTGGCATAGCCCGTAAATAGGCGTGAGATCAAGGGCGAATTGGGAGTGTTTTGAATGGACGGCCGAAATCGAATCCTTTGATCATGCGCCGTTCGTTGGGCATTTGAATGCCTTAATGATGTCGGAATTTGGCGATCTTGGGCTCGTTGGATTCATCTCGTCGAGCCGTTCGATTTGAGTATAAGCTCGTCAAAATCGGATATCGTTTGGCAACTCAAATTGCGGTTTGAACCTTCCAACAGCGCTTTGAGCCCTCGATTCGGACTCATTTGGGCTCGGATTGGGTCGAATTAGGTGTCGTTGGATTCGTATTTCCGAGACGCTCAGTTTGCCTATAAGCTCGCTGAAATCGGAGTTCGGGTGCTCCCAAAATTAATTTTTTAAGTTTCCAACTAGCTTTTGCCTCGAGATTCCAACTAGCTTTTGCCTCGAGATTCCAACTAGCTTTTGCCTCGAGATTCGTGCCTGATCAAACTAATTTTATGATGACGTATCAAATATAATTGTTAAATAATGGCTTAGATGTGTATGAAGTTGTCCCACTGATTGGCTGATTAACTATTAAAGGTTTATTTGGAATAATTTTTTGATTATTTTATTTTTTTAATTGAAATAATAATTTTATTTTATTATTATTATTTCCTTATTTTTATAATGAAAATTTTTTATTTTCTGTAATCATAAAAATAAATTTATTTTATCTACAACAGATTTTATTAAATGCTACAGCTGCTGCATTTATCAGTTAAATATATTAATGAGCTAAGCCCAAGCGGTTTGAGGCTATTTTTTTAATCAGAAACTTTTATTTGGTTCGGACACTTGACGTAGTTCTATATCCGGACGCTAATAATGTCGCCACGTGCTCTTACTCTTTACAGAGCAACTTGACGACCCCGACCCGGTATTGCTATGTATTGGCTGATTTGTGCAAACCGGGGTATTGCTCGGTATTGGTCGGCAATAACGAGAAATATCGCTCTCTCAAGTCTAATACCAAGCAATACCGAGCAAGCCATGATTTTGCTAGGTATTGCTCAATATTGCTAGGTATTGCTCAGTATTGGTCTTGACATAGCGGTATTTCCCGTTATTGTTAAGCAATACCTAGCAATACCGAACAATACCTAGCAATACACAAACATAGCAATATCGGGTTCCGTTCCGTTCCGGATCGTCGGACTACACGGTAAAAAATAAGAAAACGTGACATGTTATTAACGTCCGGGTGTAGAGCTCTGTCAGGTGTCCTGACCTAATAATTGTTCTTTAACCAGGCTGTTAAACTCTTCTAGTAATTGACGCTCCTAACATCCCGTTTTGCCACATAATTCTGCTTAGAGAAGCGTCTATATTTGATAGAAAATCACTATCAGCTGCATGGATTTTCATATCCCGTTTTGCCACATTATTCTAACACCGCCATTTCAGAAAAAAGAAATTTTCATCCACATGGAGAAATTATTTTATACGAATCATCTAATCAAAATGCACCACATCAACGATACCGAATACCGTCCGAAAACCAATCAAAATGCATCATGTCAACAATACCGAATGTCGTCTGAAAACCGGAAGCAAAATGACGTCCGGAGACCAACTAGAATACATCGTGTCAATGATACCAAACAATGTCAAGACCGCAATACCAAGCAAAAGAATGACATGACGCATTTTGATTGATCTCTGAACGGTTCGGCATCCATACAGAATAATTAATCATGTGCAGGAGCACGATTACATCACCCACTATGCAACAATCATGAATACAAAAACATAGTAGAAGAAAATAAACTTGTGCACCGAATATCATGACCTAATTTAATAAACTCTATTATTAGTCAATATCTGGAATTCCGAATACACATTATTTTTTTCCTTTTTCCTTCTCTCTCCCTGAATTATGTACAAATATAGGATTGAGGGAAAAAAAACAATTCCAATCCAGCCATAATACCATTAGCAGAGGACAAAAATGCACAGCAATGGCACCATAATCCCTCTCCCCTCGCAACAAAATTTTTTTTTTCCCCTTCGGAAGAATCATCTCAGCACAATTCAGGGCCATTACAGTTCTCACTTGAACTGCAATCCTCAACAGCAGTGCTGCTGCAGTTACCACTGTTCTCTTTGTTCAAAACCAGCTTTTCTGCCTTATCTTTGGCCTTAAAATCTTCAAGGGTTCGGTATTCTTCCCTTAGCAGCCTATCCAGCTCAGAATACATCTTTAACGGTTTATTCTGATCTCGGTAACGGTGGAAAGCCCTGCCATGTAAATACACCAAAACCAAAACAACTTGTAAGAATTCTTGTGCGAGAATGAATAGAAAAGAAATTTACCCTTTCAAAATTAAAGTTTGAGGCCTCATTTGGTTACTCAGCACCTTTCCTAAAAGATAATTTTAAAAATGTTGTTTGAGATAATGGAGTTTTATAACGGAGAAGTTAATATCAGAAAGCTTTGAAAATAATACAAAAACAACGGCATTCGAAAGGTAGTTTTATCAAACAAATAAATTTTTTCTGCTTTGCCGTTGTCAGACGGAAAAAGCAATAAAAACGGACAAACAAACGAGCCCTAAATGAGCTTGTTTTGAATGAGAATTAGGAAAAAAATTTGGCTTGGGATTATATAATATAATTGTTTATTAATTCTCATTCTGTCTAAAGTTTGGTTAGGCTATGCTATAGGAGTCAGCAAATAAAAAAATTGGCTTGCAAGAGCATTAAGGATTACCAATATTTTTCAAGACCGTAAAGATTGCCTTTGTGGTAGAATTCTAGAGTAAGCCGCTCGAAATCAACGTACAAATCTTCCCGGAACTGCTTCTCTAACCCATAACTGGAGGAAATAAAAGAAAGAAAGTCATATATGTGGGCTCGTTAACAAGAGTGATTGATTGCACGGTGTGAGCGCAATATAAAGGGAATACCTGTAAAATCTGAAAAGACATTCCAGACCATAATAATACTTTGCAGCTGCATCTTCCAGTGCAAGCTTACGAAATTCATTGTACATATTCTCGTGAAACATGTCTCTCAGGAAATAGGACCAAAACCGGTAGAGCGAGTTCATTTCCTGAATGCAGTATTATTATGCAACCAAAAAGAAAAATCATTAAATATGTCTATGATGACAACAAAAACAACTACATCGAGCCTTTGTCCTACTATGTGGGGTCGGCTGCGTGAATCCTTTTTCGCCATTGTGTTCTGTTAAAAGTCAAATTCTCGTTTAAATCTAATAAGGAATGATCATTTCTAATATTTTCTAACCAAGTATTTTTAGGTCTACCTCTACCTTTCTTAAGGTAAGTCAAATCTAATACCTCTACTTTCCTAACTGGGTTATCGGAAGGCCGCCGTTTTATGTAACCAAACCATCTAAGGCGACTCTCTCTCTAATCTTATCTTACACTGGTGCTACTCCAACCTTTTTGCGTATATGCTCATTTTGTATCCTATCTCTAAGGGTAAAGCCACTCATCCACCTGAGCATCCTCGTCTCTGCAACACTTAACTTACTATTAGATTGGAGTATGAAATAAGAAAAAAATTTATGACTTTAAAGTTTAGAAAAAATATGTCAGGTTGTGATTCTAGTAGCGCATGAATGTTTAAAATCCATCCCATGAAGAACCCATTTCCACGAAAAAGGAATTTTGAAATAAACATAATATTTACCTGAAAAAATTTGCTCTGGATATATTAACCTTAACAGAATACGTCTCAAAATATTTAAATTTATTTTGGGATCAATACAACATAAACATTTATTAATTCTATTGGTATTATATACTCATCTCAAAATAAAACAGCTTTGAAATCAATCCACCCAATTTTTTTTCTGCCATTAAGTACAAATTAACAAAGCTAAACAAAAAAAAAACACTTCATTAATTTACCAGCATTACAAAAAGATTATGCTGCACAGATCAAAAATTTAAAATAACGTATTCCAACAAATTGACACCAAGAGAAAATATAAAAAGCAAGAATAACCTGATTACCACGTGATCTTATCAACAATGCATAGATGAAGTGCAAATATGGATATATAATAAATCCTTATTTTCTTAGTAAGAAGAATTCAAAATACAAGCCCTAAAAATGTTAACATACCTCACTGCAGCCAATCCCCAACTTCTTTCGCTCATTAAGACAACGTTTGTAGAATTTATGATATCTACATAAAAAGTTGACCAAATTATAAAAGTAAAATAAATTAACCTTATGTAAGAAACTTCAATGATGCAGCCAATTACTTCTGATGCTTGAACCCGTTCTCCTCCAATAGTTGATGACTTGGATGTGCAAACTGGGGGAAAGATTTTGGCGTGGAACCCACAGGAGAGCTGATACCGGCAAGGTTTCCATGGGGAGAGCCACTTAATTTTGATTGCAACAAGCTACAAATCATAATACATGAAATATAACAATGAAAAGCTCCAATCAAAAATGACAAATCCAATACTAAATTCACTTTCTGAAAAGTAGTACCCACCCAGAATTTTCAGGTGGTGTTGAACCAAAGAAAAATCCGATCGAACTGCTTGGCGGGCTTTCCGACACAATACCATGGCGATTTCGTCCATTTCCATATAGTTTATAATTACCGGGGAATAACCGTTGCTTTTGTGATGGGTGTGACTTACTGCCTTTATTTTGCCGCCTTCGAGAATTAGCATGTCCTCCCTCTTCTAAGCCATTATTTCCAGCAATGTTTGCATTGGGTTTAGAAATCTGAGAAGACTGCCCCATGTTTGAGCATCTAGATTCACCTTCTCTAATATCAGGCCTTGAATTATTTGTAAGACCAGTAGATTGCATGCCCTGCAGTTCCTGATAATCACACGATTATAAAAAATTATTTCCCATAAGATTTCATCCACCTGGATGAAAGCGGATTATATATCATAACAATGGAATAACATCCAAGTTTGGCCTATGTAGTTGATGAGCCACAGAGATCCATCAAATGGTCCATTTTTCATGCAACAGCAGTGTTGTTTCTGCCTTCATAATGTAATACAGCATTACACGTATGGATGATAGCCTCCTTAAAGTAGGAAAATAGTTCTCACCTGCTCATAAAAATAGAGCCCATCATTGATTGTTGTGGCATGTTCATTTGATATGGGATCTGCTTTTGTCAAGCCAGATATTTCATCTTTATCTATCCTGATATCCTGCAAGTAGTTAGATCGGACAAAAAAAGCATTCCTCTGAGAGATAATTAATCAGAAGTATATGAGTAGAAACTAGAAGAACAAAGCTCAGCCGAAAAAAAAAAATAATTCTACAAAATAAAATTAAACACTGACATTGTCAGGTCTCAAATCCTAGATGAGATAAATGGATGGTTGCATTAGCTAGTCGACAGCCAGCATAAAACTTGTCGAATAATCATGACATGAATCATTTAATACATGTGTTAATGCTAGGGCGTTCCCTGGAAGCACAGCGACAAGTGAGCAAGGGTCGATGCACCGGCGCCATAGTACAATGTTAAATAGGTAAGAGTTCCCACATCATCGACAGATGTGAGCAAAGAAGTTAGTCCATGAAACTAAAATTATGATAGAAGCTTGGAATATAAGTTCTCTTACAAGCAAATAAATGAAATAAATAGATATTATGATCCATAGGAAGATAAATATTCTTTGCATTTAGGAAACTAAATGGGGAGAGAAGGCTAAGGAGATTGATATTTTAGGATTTCAACTATGGTACTCTGGTATGAGTCGTACTAGAAATGGTGTGTGTGAATATAAATAAAAGATTGAAGAATAATGTTATAAAAATTAATACAATTGGAGATAGAATTATAGCTTTAAAGATTTTTTATTAATGCATCTGGCTTGTTATGTGATAGAAAAGTCCCTCTCAAACTTAAGAGAAAATTCTATAAGATGGTAGTGAGACCTGCAATGGTTTATGGTACAGAATGTTAGTCATTAGAAGAGAAGCATAATATTAAGTTAAGTAATGTTGAGATAAGGATGCTCAGGTGGATGAGTGGCTTTACTCTTAAATACAGGATACGAAATGAGAATATATGTGAAAAGGTTGGAGTAGCTAGAGTAGAAGATAATTAGAGAGAGTCACCTTAGATGGTTTGGTCACATAAAATAGCGGCCTGCCAATGACCCGGTTAGGAAAGTGGATGTATTAGATTTGACTTATATTAAGAAAGGTACAGGTAGACTTAAAAAGACTCAGTTAGAAAATATTAGAAATGACCTTTCTTTATTAGATTTATATGAGAAGCTGGCCCTTAACATGTCACAATGAAGAAACATAATATGTAGCCGACCCCACAGTGGGATAAAGGATTGTTGTTGTTGTTATTGCTGCTCATAATAAAATTATGAGATTTATAAACTACAATAGCAATACAAGCATAAATTCTATAGATGCACCATAAAGTGTCCATCAAGCTAAATTGAAGCCTTGAAAACTAACATATTCATCTTGCTACTTATGCGTTGAAATGCTGTAGCAGCTCTAGTTTCAAGCTGATTATTTGTGTATAATTCATGTTAACATAAGCCTTGGTTATGATGATGGACATGATACCTTAATTTGGGTGACTATAATGAGCCTCTGAACATCTTGATCATTAACGTCTGGCTCATCTTCCTCATCTTCAATCCTGCTAAGATGAGTAAACTACCTTAAACAAGTTTGAAGTGTGGTGGAATATAATAATCCATGGCAAGCATGTTAAAAAGTGCTTGCGATGAAATTAAGAAAAGCAAACCACTTCAAAATTAATAACTTAACAAGATAGAAGGGCAAAATGTGTATATCTAGACCCTCAGAATGTCATATCCACACCGCAATAGGTAATAACAAGATAGTATTCCACTCCTTAATTTTGATTGCAATATAGATTAAAAATAATTTATGACAGAAATTATTCTCATTTTATAAAATTTAATTACGCCCCCATGCAGTGGGATTAAGGTTGATGTTCTTAATGTTGTAGAAATTTAGATATTCAATAAATTTAATCTCAAGACAGTAAGAGAACACAAAGACGCATGATAATGCATTTTAGTATTGACAGTTCTTAATTGTTTATGACAGATAACAACCAAACATTATAATGAATCATTCATACTTGTATCTATTAAATATTTCATTCATAATCCATGTAAAATAATAGTTTTGAGGGTTCTGGAACATGAATGCTGAAGTTAAATGAAATTAAGCTTTAATACAAATTGCAGTATTTTATAGCACCTTTTTTATTTAAGGTTCTGTTTGGATGAGTAAAGTGAAGGCAATGACGCAAAATATATAGGTAATTGGCTGATTATGAATAAATAATCATTGATATGAGATTTTCAAGTTATTTTGCATTTTTATGAACTCAAATTCACAGCACCCAAACAGATCCTTGTTTTGTATTAATGGAGGATATCAAATATTGGTTATCAGAACTTGCGTTTATGGAAGATGATGTTATCAGATGTATGTAAGAGAATATCATACAAAATTAAACATGAATTCTATAAAACACCAATTAGCATGGCTGTGATAAGGATTTGACGAAGGAATTAAAAGTCTTATAGTCAAGAGTGGCAGATACAATAGAAAAAGAATGTTAAGATTGATATGTCATAAAATTATGAAGGAAACAACAACAACATCAAGCCTTTACTCCACTACGTGGGATCGGCTACATGAATCCTTTTTTTTTCCATTGTGTCATATTAAAAGTCAAATTCTCATTTAAATCTAATAAAGAAAAATATATCACGAAGAGATACACTAAAAAATAGTGCAGTAGAAAATAGATTTGCAGCCATGTTTGGCAATGCTTTCAATTGCTTCGCTTCGCCAAAAGTTGACATCAAAATACTAATTTGTGAAAAAGAGCATGCTCCAAAAAGTAATATACAGCATGTGCACCTTTGGCATAACAATGGGCAACACACTGACAGAGCACCTTGTTCATCCATATAAGAAGGATAGGGACAATGTTATTTAGCATGAAGCAAACAGCAAACTATAACAAAGCACTACCAAACAAAGGCAAATTTTCACAATAAAGACATGTACCTTGAAGCCATTATTCTCAGGACAACGAGAATAGCAAAAGAATTTCATCTGGTTCAGTATATAAAGTGTGGTCTACTGAAAGTCTAAAACCAACTGGCGCACTGTTACTCTAATTCAAGGTTTGAATGATTCTCTACAACGCTCATACAATTCCAAACAATTAAATCAAGTCAGCATTGCCAAAGATAATAGTTCCTCATTGCAATTGGATAACGAAATCCATTCTGGGAGGAAAACGAGTGTAAAAGCAGCAAGCCAAAAAAAAAGGAAAATAAGCAAGGAAAAGCTACTCCGATTAATCATGCTTGGGATTGCTTCCAATCAATCATGCTTAATCATGCTTGTAATAAGAGGAAAAGAAAAGACATGTTATTTGACAGGAACCACAACACAACCATCCAAAGATGCTCTGAATTGCAATTCTTAGGAAGCCGAGAATTCAATTGTGATGATTGGATCTAAAATCATAAATACCTAACAAGATAACCACTGTTACCCAATACTAAATCTTTCAAATTGAATCTTAGTAGGAAATGGGCTATATTCAATAAAGTTGAATAAAGTTTCTCAAATGATGCGGAAAAATATAGGAAATTGTAGGAGAAAATTGGGGTATTATATTTCCTCCAGGATTTCAACTGCAATTTGGATGAAGCTTGAGGAAAAAATTACTCATAATGAAGCATTCCCTACAAGTAGAAACTCTTTTACCGAAGAAAGGTGAGAAGATAGCCAAAAGTAAGTAAAAATGAGCTAAACGCCAAACTTTATTAAATTTCCAAAGCTCAAAACTTGCTGGTTCCACGTAAGTGGCCACTTATAAGAAAAACGTAAGCCAAAACTCTGAGCACAAAAAAAGGTGTGGTTTATGCACCATCACAAATCATGTCATACCCGTGATCAAAGCTAGGAGATACATGGAAACTAAAAAAATTAGAAGCCTAAATTGTAGAGGAACAAACCAAACGGCCCAAATTGCAAAGAAAAATATAACCAAGTCTTTTGACTTCGCATTTGAAGAAAAATGGAGACACTTCAACTACTTCATCAGCAAATAGCCAAAAACTGAAAAAATGAGACATTCAAGATTCAAGAGGATGATGTAATAAATATTATAATTATTTAAATAAAAAGTAAATGATATAAATTTATAACTAAAAAGAAATTTAGTTCATATATAAACTTAAATAAATTATTACAAATTTATATTACATTTAATATAAATTATCATAAATTATTGTTAATTTATGATATATTAAAATTTACAATCAAATTAATACTAAATTCACATTATAATTTTGCATCTATGAATCATTCATGTTAGATTATTTATGATTAATAAATAGATAAAACTTAATTATTAATAATGTATATTTAAAAAAAACTAAAATAAAATAGACAAACAATTAAATATAATTAAGCAACAAAAAAATTATTATTCTCATCATTAAAATATGTTTGAAAATATATAACATATGTGTTTTGACATAAAAAAAATTCAACTAAGCTATTTAGTTCCATATCACTTAAGAGTTTTATTCTATTTTGCTTATATATTTTTATTTGTTTGCATGTGTTTTGTTGAGAGCTAACTTGGGATGGTGGGATCATATGTGTATGTTTTGTTGGAGCTTAGTAGATAAAAAATTATTACAAAAATTTAGGCTTATTATAAAATTAAAAAATACCATATTTAATTAAATTATTAAGTTTAATATTTAATTAAACATTGTATATTTTAATTTCTTTAATTATTTAATTATGACATCAATTGAACCAGTTGGTTCTTCAAAACTAGGATCAATTCAACGATTAGACGATTAAACTGGTGATTCAAACTGGTTGTATGTTAGGCCTGTTTGTAAGTCAAACCAAATCAGCCACATGATCAATTCACGGTTGAACAGAACGAACCAACCGGTCCTGCCCAATTTTTAAAACCATGAGAAATTATGCAATGAGAACTAGCAAAGCATCATCCAACAAAAACACTGTCGTTTGCCTTTTCACCAATAAACATGGGCATATGATAAATGCACTTCAAGTGCAAATTATATTTAAATTCTAAGTCATGACCTTTCAGTACATGCATAAATACGGTAAGAGTATGAACTAAACATTAGAAACAATCACAAAAAGCATAAAAAATAAAAACTATGCCTAAAAATCATTTGGCAGTTCACGTTGATCCAAAGTTTCCACTAATTTCTCCTCAAAGAGGCTATCTTTGCAACAAATGGGAAACTTTACAATTTTTTCAATGATGTTTTATCTGCATCGTCAACTTGTTAGTAGTTGCTGTTCAATTAATTTGTCATTGTGGATAAAAGTACTTGTATTTTCAACATCATTGAGATGGTCTGAGTGAACACAAGGGGAATTGTTTCAAGAACATGACTACTGTGCAATATTCACTTATTTTTTAAATTATCCTTAATTTTTCTTACACGAGAATAAGCATTAAAAGATACATAAAAAAGTCACGAGAAAAAAAAACAGTTGAATAATGCGGAGGTGTAAAGCATTATGCTACTTTGGCATAAGCTACCATGGAAATAATACTAAGGCTTCGTTTGGGACAACTTTCTTATTTCTTTTTAAATCAGCTTTCTAATACAAAAATTTCTAATTAAAAATTTTTTACAAGAAAGCTACTTTGGAGAGCAGTAAGAAAGTTGTCTCAAACGAAGCCTAAAAAAATTATCAACACAAAAAAGCAGTATCAAATGGTACCTCTTCTGTAAAGAATGATGGTCCTTCTGGATTGCTTTGTGTTCTAATTCCATTTCTTCATCAAGCCAGAAAGTACTCTGGTCCCCTGAAAAGTTGGAAGACGGGTGGACAAAACTAGTTGACGAGCTTCTGAGATTTGGCATGTGACACTTTTCAGCTACTTCCTTTTCATCCTCAAATTCAAAGCTAGCACCATTGGAAGGACAAGACATTTGCCGAGAATCTTCAGAAATGAGATATTTTGTTACCAAGAGGAAATGTTATGCCATCTATAGCAGCCTCTAGGGAAGAAATATGATCATTAATTATAAATATGATAAAGAAAAGTTTACCAAACTCATCTGTTGCCATAGTCTGAACTTCAACAGTGTTGCTTACAAAACTTTTGTCATTAGCTTTTTCTTTAGAATGGCCATACTCTGAGAGCAAGAAATTGTATTCCTCGTTACAGTTTCCTTTTGAGCTACTATCCTCGTTAACCCTGTCCCCTCCATGATCATTGTTTTTCAGATTGTTATCCACCAATGGTCTGCTATCACCAGACTGAGATTTTGACCTATGAATCCATTTCAACCAATCTGTTCGTCTAATCTTCTCATCCTACACAAAGTCATAATAATTTGATTAGAAAATAATTTTCATTGTTTCAGAATATATGGTCATAAACATCGAAGTTCAAAACAACAGATCAAAACAACAAAGCAAACCTGAACTTCGATAATGTTAGAACTTCGTAAGCAATCTAAAATCAACGGTATGCTAGTCGTCATTTTCTTAAGCTGAAGGAAATTATGAGAAAAACAATATAGTTAGAGGTTAATTCAGACAATTATAGGATACAAAATAGATGCCTATGGCGCCTCATACAAGCAATCTGCATATAGTTAAAGCATACCCTTTTGAAGTCTGCAATTCTCGATATAGAGACCCATCCTTGCTCATCCAGCAAGCCTAGCAGAAATGTGTCATGCTGTAGATTTTCATCACTGCACAAAATAAAGCATTTTTTTTATAATTGTGGAAGAACTAGGAGAGGGACAGCTACTGATCAAGAAAACATCATATTGCAAACTTCAAAGTTGGCATTCATAAGAAAAGGCAAAAGATTGTCGATATGGTGAATTAGCCATGATTAAAAAAATGTAAATTAAGAAAAAAGACTCACCTGAAATAATATTCAATTTGCTTCAATATATTAGCCCTTAAGGTTTGTTCCTCTGGTGGCAGAAAAGTAACAGCAGCAGCAGGAGCAGGAGAAAGTGGTGGCGGTATTAGTGAAATTAAATGAGGGGGGCCCCTGCTGAAATCTAAAGGGCCAGCAGGGTAAAAACAGACGGGTTGAGGAGCACCTGTATTTCAGGTAAAATCAGTAAAAATAAAGAAATAACAGGATTAAAGGGTAAAAATTAAACAAGCTAGCATACAAAAACAATGGCAAATCAAATCAAAAAGAAAGTTTCACGTATTTTAAGAAAATACCATGGTAACCAGGCCCACCAATAAAACCTGAGGTTGGACCAAAATAAGCTGAAACTGGCCTGACAAACGTCCTTGGTCCGATGCCCTGGGGCATATTCATGCTGTCTCTAGGATTAAAAGGTCGTTGTGTGCGCCATGCTTGATTGAAACGGTTTGTAGGCTCTTGCCCATTATTTGGACGGTAAACATTGTTAGCATTTTGGGGGCGCCAGGAATTGAAATCTCGTCGTGGTGGCACTTGAAAATTTCTATTATTCTCAATCCCGCCAACTTGACTGTTCATAGCATAGGGTGGCACTGAGACATCAACTCTAGAATTTACAATCCGGTGATCACTTCGAAAGGGTGGAGGAAAAGCCTGATAAGCGTGTTCTGGGACAATAAGAGATGGTGGAGGTACAATGGGATATGACATCGGTGGAACTAGCGGCTGGGGTAATGGAAAAGGACCAGGAAATGAAGTAGGTCCATTTGCAGGGCCATTACGCCTAGGGACAGCGTTATGAGGACGAACAGGTGGATGTCTATTTGAAGGATTGCTACTTCCAAATCCATCAGATCTCCGTTGGCCAGCTGATCCCTGAAAGTAAACATCTTTTAAGCATCAAACCCAAATCCATTAAAATCACTACTGAATCAAAATAAATGGCAATACGTAATTCCTAGGAAACACATGATTTGTGCAAATATATCCATTTAGATTTACTTGATTAGGTTAGGTTGTAGTATATATAGTGTCAATGATGAGCTACATGAAATTATTGAAAATTATTAACAGGTTCATCAATATTCTCAGTATAAAAGATTAACTAATTGTAATAATTGCAGAACAATAGAGTTGTTCATCGAGAAAAGCAGCTTAGCCTAAAGTTCCTGATGCATTGCATGAGAACGCATATTAACAATAACAATGATTGTAATATTAAAAAATCTCCTTTATGACTAGTTCACCTGCTCGTCCGCTTACAAAGATGTATCCACAGATTGATCGCAACATGTATGGGCACACAATATATTATTCAAAAAGCTTGGTTTTATATAGCATGACTAGAAGAAAAACGTATGGTGATTTGTAACCAACATAAAGCATATATCGTGAACAGATATATTTTCCTATTCAAAATATTTAATCTTTAATATCTTTAAGAAAGAAAAATGAACTGAGAATAAACTGACCAGCAGAAGACGTTGTGCACATAGATTAGACAAAATGCTCTGGGCAGCCGGAGGAACATTAAAAATATTACAACTTCAATTTTAATACTCATATACCAGCAAATTAAATGAATTAAACCTCAGTGCAAAAACATTGTGGGGAAATTTGATTTTACTGCATCCAGCAGCATAATCTAGATTTGTTTGTTTAAAAAACAGATTGCCAAATAACTTAAATGAATCTTCTAAGCTTTTCTCTTTTAGGGGAAATCATGGCATTAGTAAACCAGAAAAAAAAAAACCTGCATGTGTGGAGCAGGGTTCGCTGGCGGTCCATTTCTCGGAACCGGGCCTGCATTAGTTGCTGCAACCTGAGGCGGCGTTGCCTGCCCTCCACCCGCTTCAACAGCGCCATGCGGCTTTGAATCCCCCAGAGCCGGCCACGCATCTGCACCAATAAGTTGACTCTCCGACTTCCTTGCCTCTCCCGCCACCGGCGCCACCAACGTCGACGACGCCGGCTTCTTCCAAGCCGATTTCGACCCGCCTTTCCCCTTCTTCCTCTCTTCCTTTCCAGAAACAAGGCCTTCCTCCGCGCCCACCGGAAAGGAAATGTCGTCGGAGGCGTCTCCGCTCTCCATCGCCGCGGCGTTCAAAAAAATTTCTTGAGGTCGGTCCGTACCTGAATGTCTACGATATTGCGGGGCTCGTAACCGTCTTTGTCATCGAAAGGATCAGGGAATGGGATTAGGGTTTTGCGTGGTGATGAAGGCGGGATTAGGGTTTTTGGAAGGGGAAAATGACCGAGGGAGAAGAAAGAGAATCCACGAGGCAACTTAAAAACGTTTGCCGGAGAGGGCCCAAAAAGCGGGCTCGTGCCCACGTCTTTGCGGTTTCATTTGTGCGGTTAATTTTTTAAGAGAAAGTTATGCTCACTTCCATGGGAGAACCTCAACCAACTTTCTCTATATTCGAGCATGAGCCGGACGAACCGCTATTCAATTTATGCTAAATTTATATAAAAAATAATTTAAATTATATTTATAAATAAGTAATTGTATTTACCTAAACATTTTTCTAAAAAAAAATTATTGAAATGATAAATAATATATTATAAATATGTTAACTTCGATAAATTGTATTTTTATTTAACTAACAGTTGATATTAGTGATAATAAAAAAAAGTCTAAATGGTCATTTGAATATCTTTAATCTTTCTTTTTAAATTATTTTATTTGTTACATTTTTATATCATAAAATAAAATAAAATATGCATTTAAAATTTTATATATGTATTTTTTAATATATGTACAATATTTGACTCTTATTTAAAATACATTATAGTTTTTATTAGCATACCTTATTTCTACACAATCAATGTTACTCGGTTTCGACAAGATGGTGAGATCTTTGTGACTTTCTGTCTGTTTTTATGATGATCCTTTGTGATTATCTGGCACGATTTTTATCCAATAACTCCTTAAAATGTAATATCGCCACTCCATTAAGTTCTTTTTTTGAAACTCATATTTATTTCATATTTATACAATTATTTTATTGTGGTCAAGTCTTATAATTTAATTTGAAATGATTGCATGTTTTAAATATTCTACTCATAATCTTTCGAATAAAAATAATATACAAACAAAAGAAATTTTTCATTTTCATATCCTCAAAACATTTATATTTCATTTCAAAAGGATAATTTATACTAATTATGAATATATCTTTCAAATCACCTAACTCTAATATATTTTCATTGTTATAAAAAATGAACAAAAAAATAAAAGAAATATGAATCTTCAAAATTTCATCTGTTTCACTCTATTAGGTCTTTACTCTTCCTTGATATCATAAAAAATCATATAACGAACAGACACATAGCAGGTCACCAAAATCTACCATTACACCTAATATAAGAAAAACATAACAATATGCATGTAAACATTCATATCATATTAGTATAGCATGTCTTATCAAATCATGTGAAGTTTTCATGTTATTTCTGGTCATCATATAATATATGCATATATTCATTCATGTTAATGCAAGTTAGGATATCCAACTAATCATATGCTATTTTTAATATCTTTTATTATATTGTTATATTATATCATGTGTCAGTGTCATGTGACCATCATGTAAGAGTCTTCACTCCTACCCATTGATATATCTTATCCACTTATAATTATTTATATTATATATTATGAATTGTATTGGATTACATTACAAGTTTATAATTTAAATGAAATCATTTCAGCTCGCTATCTTTTACAGGGTATCTTACTCCTATTCACCTGAATTAGCTTGTAACTAGTTAGCATTTCTTGCATTACACACCAATATTATATTTTATATGCAATATATCACAACGTTCAACCCAACCCAATATGATTCACAGATAGACAAGCATGTCATACCATATTGCATTGTGACAAATCAAGCCTAATATCTATATTTTGGAAAACTTTTCAAATTTCATCCAATTAAATTTTAAAACAGACAACAGAGCTTATATCGAGGACCGCAACTTGTGTTTAACCAATTTTCTAGATATCCGTACAACATTAGAGTACAACAAAGCTTTTGATGAGCCGTTAGACTTCATTTATTTCCCTTTTCTATACGAGAAAAGGAGAAAATACGATTGAATTCATTACCCCTAATTTTAATAAATATGGAATGATCTTAAATATAAGTTTCTATCTAAGTACATTCCTTCTTCAAAACTTATTAATAAAATTACTTTATTTTTATAATTTGTCGGAGAGTCGATCTATAAAATATAGGAAATATTCAAAAAGATGCTTAGGAAATACTCATGCCTTAAAAATGTTATCGGAGAGGCCCCAAAAGAGCAGGCTCGTGCCCACATCTTTGCTTTCGGTTTTTATTTTTTACGGTTAATTTAAAAAAAAAAGTTATGCTTGATCCCACTTGGTTGGGAGAACCTCAACCATCGCTTCTATATGCGGGCATAGGTCGGACGAATCGTTATTCTATTTATGACAAATTTATAAAAAAAATAGTTTGGGCTACATTTATAAATATGTAATTGTATTTACCTAAGATTTTTTCTCAAAAAAATTATTAAAATGATAAATAATATATTATAAATTAATATGTTAACTTTGATCAATTGTATTTTTATTTAATCAACAGTTAATATTAACGATAATAAAAATAAATTCTAAATGGTCATTTGAATATCTTTAATTTTTCCTTTTAAATTATTTTATTTGTTACATTTTTTATATTATAAAATGAAATAAAATATGTATTTAAAGTTTTATATATTTACTTTTTAATATATATACAATATTTGACTCTTATTTAAAATAAATTATAGTTTTTATTAGCATACCTTATTTCTACACAATAAATGTTTCTTGGTTTCGACAAGATTGTGAGATCTTTGTGACTTTCTGTCTGTTTTTATGATTATCTTTTGTGATTATCTGGCACGTTCTTTATCCAATAACTCCTTAAAATACAATATCGCCACTTTCTTAAGTTATTTTCTTGAAAATCATATTTACTTCATATTTATACAATTATTCTATTGTGGTCAAGTCTTATAATTTAATTTGAAATGATTACATGTTTTAAATATTTTACTCATAATCTTTCGAATAAAAATAATATGCAAACGAAAAAAAAAATCATTTTCATATACTCAAAACATTTATATTTCATTTCAAAAGAATAATTTATACTAATTATGAATATATCTTTCAAATCACCTAACTCTAATATATTTTCATTGTTACAAAAAATGAATCAAAAATAAAAAAAAAATATGAATCTTTAAAATATCATCTGTTTCAGTCTATTTGGTTCTTACTCTTCCTTGAAATCAAGAAAAATCATATAACGAGCAGACACACAGCTGGTCACCAGAATCTACCATTGCACATAATATAAGAAAAACATAACAATATGCATGTAAATATTCATATCATATTAGTATAGCATGTCTTATAAAATAATGTGAATGTGATTTGTGCAATATGAACATTAATGATCAATATGCATAGTATGAATCATAAACAATCATAATCATGATGGATAAATAATAATTGACTTGGCTCTATCCTGACATGTTAAAACATTATTACAATAAGATTATCATAAGAATAAGAAGAAGTAATACATTTGAGATTTGCTTTATTATTTATCAATCTATGTCAACATCATGAATATTCTTTCTATATATTATAATGTTATTTATATAATATGGATTAATATCATATATTATATGTATAATATATGTATATATTATTTATAGCATTAATAGCTAGCCTTTCTTGCTTTTATTGCCAATGCCACATTCATATATATGAAATACAGTCTAATGTGCAATATCTATAAAATACAATTATATATATATATATATATATATATATCTCATAAAGTTTATGCATTTTTATGTTATTTCTAGTCATCATATAATGTATGCACATATGCTATTTTTAATATCTTATATTATCTTGTTATATCATATCATGTGTCAGTGTAATGTGACCATCATGCAAGAGTCTTCACTCCTACCCATTGATGCATCTTGTCCACTTATAATTATATATATTATATATTGTATTGGATTACATTACAAGTTTATAATTTAAATGAAATCATGTCAGCTCATTATCTTATACAGGGTATCTTGTTATTATTCACCTGAATAACATGTAACTAGTTAGCATTTCTAGCATCACACACCAATGTTATATTTTATATGCAATATATCACAACCTAACCCAATATTATTCACAGATAGACAAACATGTCATACCATATTGCATTGTGACAAATCAAGTCTAATATCTACATTTTGGAAAACTTTTCAAATTTTATCCAATTAAATTTTAAAACATACAACAGAGCTTATATCAAGGACCTCAACTTATATCAAGGACCCCAACTTGTATTTATCCAGTTTTCTTGATATCCGTGCAATATTATTTTTTTTGGGAAATTTTGAGGCATCAGCCCATGTATTTCTAAAAAGGAAAATTACAAGTAAAGCAAACGAAAATCCAACATAAGAAGGACAAAACTCTTATGGAGGAGAAGACAAAAAACCCCAACTATACGACCCTTACAATTTTAACAAAAAAACTATAAAAGCTCATGTGGTAATAATGCAGAAAACAAGAAATACATCTTCCGTCAGCTAAGCACGAGCCAGCAACCAAATCATCCCAGCACGAAGACCTGCACAAAGGAAAAGGCTCCCAGAAAATACCAACTGGACTCAGAAAAATACTACAAAAATTGGATAGAACCGTGGTTGCCCAAAGGCCGTCCAAGGGCCAATCCTGGAGCCTCATCATTGTCCAGTTAGTCCATGAACAGCACGAAATAGGGACAGCAACACTTGCAAAAAACCATATAGAGAAAATCCCAAAATTATCATGACTGCAAAACAGCCCACAATGCTCAAAATCCGCCCAGAATCTCCTTGAATTTAAATTTGAGAATGTCATAGTGTTTCCAGTTAACCACCTTAGCCCGGATGGCTTGAATAATCACTGTCAGAAGATCAGAAAAGCTGATCTCCTTAGAAGCAAACTTTCTAGCATTTCTTTCTCTCCAAATCCAGTAAATAATCACAGAAAGAGAGAGGTAACAGAAGTTTAAATCCCAACGGCTAAAGGACCTAAAATTGCTCCAAAAATCATAGACCTGACGCAGGTTTGGCCTAAAATAAAAGGTAACCAAGGATGGCAAAAGGGTGGAGATGATTTTGAAAGTAAAATCACTTTCAAAATAAAGGTGCGAATGACATTCCCAGCTAGCCGAGCAAAAAGCACAAGAAGAAGAAACCAAAATCCCTCTTTGACAACAAAACTTTTGATGGAGCCATTAGACTTCATTTATTTTTATTTTCTATATGAGAAAAGGAGAA